ACTGTTTGTGAACTAAAATGGCTGAAATCCCTGCTTTTCTCCCTTGGTGTGCGTCACAAACAACCCATGCGGTTGTTTTGTGATAATCAGGCAGCCCTCCATATTGCAGCTAATCCTGTCTTCCATGAGCGTACGAAACACATTGAAATTGATTGCCACTTTGTGCGTGACGAAATCCAACGAGGTGTTTTGTGTACTCGCCACATCTCCACCAATGAACAACCGGCAGATCTCTTTACAAAGGCTTTGGCTTCCGCTCCATTTTCCCATTTGCTGTCCAAACTGGGCATCCAGAATCCGCATGCTCCAGCTTGAGGGGGGGTGTTGGGCGGTGCTCCTTGGACCACACGGCAAGAAGGAGAGCAAATCCCATTCTAAGTGGGATTGCTCTTGATTTGTTTCCTTGTTCATATTTAGTGATTTGTTTCCTTGTAGGAATAGAATTCCTTTTGTGTTTTGGTCTTTATCCTCTCCTATAAATAAAGGAGAAACTCCTTGTACTTAGCAGAACAATTCAATATACAGAATATTTTCCCTCTTATTATTTTCTTCATGTTGCTTGTTGGACATTTGGTGATGTAGCCATTTTGTCTTTGTTCGGAATTGACTTGTTGTCATTTCCACGCTCGGGTATGCCCGTTCTATTTGTATATTCTACTTCTTTATTCTATTTACATTTTCATCAAAAAAAATAAGAGCTTTTGTCTCCCTGTGTTTTTCCTTAATTAATTACTCCATCTGCGCTAGCTACCGTACACACTGCGAAGATACACATAATGTGTATGGGTCAAAGGGGACATTAATTAGCAATAACTATATATATATATGGTCTTTGGAAATCAAAGGTCGGTTTTACCAAAGGGTATTGTTTTGTGGGTAACTTCTTTTTCAAATTAAAGTTATACAAAAAAACAGTTTTTATTTTAAAGTACGAGGACCTCTTAGATATATAGGGCATTAATGTTAATTATATAAGTAATGTAAATAATTTAAATATGGAGATTTGTTTAGAAAAATAAGATCACAAATTAACAATACAATATTATCAGAAACTCATTTAGATAGAAAAGTTTATACACTAAAAAGGAGATGAGTACTAAGTAAAAAAAATGTACTTCCCTTTTTTCATCCATCCCAAAAAACACTTCTCTTTTTCTATTAAAAAGATACTTTTACTCCTATCATTTCTTAACATACCTATCACATCACATTTTTTCTCTATTAATCTACTCATCTCCTCCTACTTTATCCATCATATCAAAGGGCATTTTTGAGAAGTCAACACCAAAATACACTCTCCTTAAATCTTTTAAAAGTCAAAATGGAAAGTTTTTTAAGGGACAGAGGGAGTATTAAAATACATGCATGATTTTGAAAAAAAATTACTTTAGCGTGTCGGTCAAGCTAGGTTTGGATTCGGCCAGGTTTGGATTCGGTAGGGCTTATCCATTTTCAGCGAGTCATCTTTGGATTCAGTCAACAAATTAAATCTTTTGTTCAATTCCAATTATTTTTAGATCGAGTCTAAGATAAAAAAGTTAAACCAATTTTTTTTCAAGTCTACTTGGGAGAATTGTCTCTGAGAAAGAGTCATCATTTCTATTGTAGAAAGTCACAAAAGATATTTCTATCCATTTTTAGAGTCCTTTAAATCACTTTTTAAATTAGACCATTTCATTTTCTTAAGTTTTGCTCCGTATATAAAGTGAATTTAGACTTTTTCTGGATAATGGGAGTATAATCTTAACCCGACTAATATGGAGATGGGATTTGTCCTCATACATGTAAGGATTTCATGCTACACATAAAATACAATTCATCCCTATTCGCAAATATAATGTCAGGAGTCAAAATTGAATATTACACTTTTTTACATCTCTTCACTTCTTTCCTACAAAATGTACCACTTCCATCCCGAATAGATCGTTCCACTTCGCTACTCATCTTTTTTAGCTATATATTTAATTCTGTTAATCAGTTGCTAAAAAAATACTTTCTTAGCTTGTAATATGATTTGAGTATAATAAAAGTATATTATTTGTTTAAAAGACATCATCATTTCATTTATGGTTTTATAGATAATTTGATTTATAGTTTTCTTAAAAACAATTCCTACCATTTTTAAAACAATAAGGTTAAAAATAAACACAATCAATGAGTTAAGTTTCATTGTTGATCATAGGATAATTGGTTTTGGAGAGAGGAAAATGAGTAGAATATATAATGGGCCTAAATATATTTGTCATATATCCGTTTCACCAAATGGCTTGCGGCACGCGCACGCCTAGAGAAAAAGATGTCATATGACCAAAACCACTCAATGCAACAACTAACTATAAATGCATCCCCTCTATGAATGGATCCGGAGAGAGCTAATGGGGAAATGCTCATAAACTTTTGATTCACAAACATCCCAGCTCAAAATCGTGTGGCTGCAGTGAGAGGCAATCATGTAAAGCATCGGGAACTCCACCTTTATACCAACTGACTGAGATTAAAACTCAATTTACATTCTCTCATCTATAACTGTCTGACCGGTGCTGAGAGATCCTCAGAGATGAGGTGTCATCCTTTTGATTCACATAGCACTTTGATTTGTGTTAAAAAGTGTTTTTCACAAATAATGTGTTAAATCGAATTTATAAACAAGCAGATAAAAAACAATGAAATGATTAATTACAATCCTGAATTGGAATTCCAATTTTTTATTGGAACCAGGCAATGTTGAGACGAGTGTGTTTGATTTTGTTCTTTCTGGTTGCCGGTATCGAATATTGTCTACTTTCACAATTTTTGAGTTGCAATGGTCCAGAATATTAACTATAATTGCAAACTAACGGAGGGAATATTATAGATTTTTTTTTAAGTAAATGACAAAAATTACAATTACAATTACAATTCAATTACTTTTGGTCAAAAAATTACAATTACATACTCCGTATTTATATTTCCAACTTCCAAATTGAACCTTTTGTTTTATTGTACTTCACGGAGTAAAAAAAAAGGTGAGATTCGTGATTGTTACTCCGTATTTATGTATAAAAAAATACTCCGTAAAAAATAATGTGAAACACTAACTGCTAACTTTAAAAGTAACAAAAAATTTAATTTGGATTGGAAGAAGTAATAAATATAAATACATTACTTTATGTACCCGGATATGGTGATACGTTTACAATGTTCTCAATTAAAAAGAAAATTGTAGAATTTGATTTTTGTGTAAATTTTCTACACAGTCCTTTTTAACAAGGGATTTGTTTCATATTCCAAAATAATCACAGACTATATTTGGGTCCTATATTAGGAAAGTCATTATGTTTTAGTTCTATTTAAGTAAATTTCTCATTTAAAAACTAGTCCATGATCAACCCTATATTTAATCAAGAATCACGATGTAAGACATATAAAATCACATAAATTTAGAAATAATGAGTTGAATTTTGATTTACACAAACTCTAGTTTCACTTAAACTATTTTTGGTACGAGTATTTTGAATTTAATTTCTTAAAAGCACACAAGTTATGTTGCATTTCTCTCACTTGTTATGTAGTGTTAGAATCTATGCGACATCGGAAATTGAAACGAAAAGTAAGCAATGTATAAATTATTGAGTTAAGCTAAGTAATCGATTGATTCAATATATTTATATGGTTCGGCCCAAGTATGTATTTTATAGCTCAACTCCAGTGACTCTTACCACATCCTAAATTATATCATGATATCAAAGCCAGTGTGGACGTTCATTGCTAGCAGGCCAGTCTTTAGCCAGTTTAGACATTCATTCCTAGTTTTAATATGCTTCAAGTCAAGTGTCTTATGAATTAGTCACGCCAAAGTATAGTTTTCTAATTTGACTCAAAAAATTTAAACTGAAAAAAAAATGTTTGGGCATTGGCAAATTGCAAGTAAATTTTCACGGAGAAAATACGGCAAAAAGGCTTAATTATAATATCAATTAATGCTTAATTAACAATTTTAAGTAAAACTTTTTGCCATACTTTCTCAATGAACACCCAACTGTCCAAAGGAGACGAACCATTACTTAGCTGGCCATATAATAAGAGAGAAAGAGGTTGTTGGCAAGGCGATGTGGGAGATCGAGGCGATTCAATAAAAGAATTTCATTTGAAAAACTAAAAAAAAAAAATCAAGTCTTTACAATTGTTAGAGCACAGGAAATGATCATCACGCCCACCGGCGTGATCGCCGATTTTAACGCCGGGGCGTTAAACACCGCCCCCCATCGGCTTCATCCGGGCGTGATGTGTTCGGCGTCATTGGTTTGACGCATCCTTCCCCTCCCCCTAACGGCTAATTTAGCCGTTGAAACCCAAAAAAAAAAAAAGAAAAATTTAATTATTTATTTTTTATAAATTTCAACCCCCCTCCTATTCTCACACCTTCAATCTTCTTCACACATTCTTCAATTTTAAACTTCCCCCCCTAACGGCTAATTTAGCCGTTACTGAATGTAATTTTTTAAATTTTAAATTATTGTCGTTTCAATTTCTTTAAATTTAATGAATGTATTTTTTTATTATTCGTGTTTCAATATAATTAAATAAAAATTAATTACATTTTATTAATTTAGTTTTAGAAGATGTATATTTAAAAATATAAAAAATGAAGGTTTGAAGCCCCAGTTTGAAGCCCCAGGGCTTCAAACCCATTTCCAGTGAATCTGTGAGGTAAGTTAAAGCTGACGTGGCAGAGAGAGAAATTTTGAAGCCCCGAAGCTTCACGGGTATTTCCAGTGCTCTTAGGTTCAGATCCAAAGAAAGTGAAGAGGCGGTTCTCCTTAGTTTTTGATAACCGCACCGGAGTTGTTGTTATGGAATCGGCGGTGGCGGCGGCGTCACCTTTTAGGTTGGATATCCTCCGGGGACAAGTTGCGCTCCTGACTGGCGGCGGCTTCGGCATCGGATTCGAGATCGCCACTCAGTTTGGTAAGCATGGTGCCTCCATCTCTATAATAACCACACATTTTGTGGGGAGCTTACGGCGGGCTTGGGGTGGGAGTAGGGTGGGGGGTTTAGGGGGTAGGTTAGGGGGGTAGGAACCGTCAATTTTACGAACGGAGCACCGGAGGTGCCCCAAAAACGCAGTGGCACCGGAGTGCCACCGTTCTCCGGTGTCACTAGCTAGAACCGGGCTGTATATGTGTGTGTGTGTGTGTTATTTATTTATTTACCCCGGAGTATTTATTTGGATTATGCTATGTGTATCCCAAGGTTTGTACCCCAATTTGTACCTCGCAGTTTTGCACCAACACTTTGTGTTGGTGTAAAACTAATTTTTGTTAAATGCACCAACATTTGTGTCCGTGTGAATTTTTATTAACCCACCAACACTTGTGTCGGTGTAAACCATCGGAATGTTTGTGCAAACCTGTGGTGTACAAATGGGGTATATTTTTTGGTGTAAGTGTAGCATGGTCCTATTTATTTATATACTCTCTCCATCCCAAGATATTTGAACACTTTTGATTTTTTGGTCAAAATTGATAAAATTTAGTCGTAAATTAAATAAAAAATATACTCCCTCCGTCTCGGAGTATTCGTCCAGTTTTGACATTTGAAACTGTTCATCTAAGCACTTTGACTCATCAAATTATCTGAATGTGTAAGCCTAAATATAGTCATGTGTGATCTTGTTTGATTTGTCTTAACATATAGATTATTAATATATAATTTCTATAATTTTTTAATATACAAATTACAAGATAAAATGGATTAAAGACGTGTATTGGATGGTGTGTAAAAATGAAAGTGGAGAAATACTCTGGGACGGAGGTAGTATTATATACAGAGTATTAGATACATAAATAATTTTATTAAATTTATTATATAGAATATTTTCAAAATATTATCTTATCTAATTAATATACTCCGTACAATATATATTTTATTTAATTATATATTAAAGGTCAAAGATTAAAAAACATTTGATTGAAAAACTAGACAAATACTGTGTGTGTATGGTCTTACAAAATAAGTAACCTTAAAAAACATACGCATCAATATAATGAATATCGGATGAAAAGTGCAATCCAAGGCGGAGTTATAATGGGAATGTGGGGGTCATCATCACTCCATTTAGAATTGGATGTGTGTATTTTAGTCACTATATATTTAGTGTATCAGTTTTATAGTGGCACAATATGTCCCAAAAAAAAATAAGTTTTAGTAGTACAAAAACCCCTGCTAGATTTTTTCTTCTTTTTTTAGTCCTATTCTTGTAAATTTCTCCATTTGTTTGATAATGGCATCCATTCAAGCACCTCTACTCCCTTATTGACTCTATTCCAACCAAAAACATATCAACCAACCAACACTATCTGAGGAAAGAAATGCTCCATTTGTTTAAATTATTCCTCATTTATTGTCATTTCCCTATTGTTAATTTGATTGTTTGAATTAATGAAATTATAAATAATATCAATGTTAAATTCAAAAAATGACCTGATATGTATATGGAGTAACTACAACAAATTTTTTACAAAAAAAAACTATACCCAATTGAGTTTTTTTGTACTCCCTCCGTCTCCTAAAATCATTTCTGTTTTGACTTGGGAGTGATCTATTTTTGTAGTTTGATATTCTGATTATATCTTTGCAAATTGAATGAAATATATTGCAACGACTTAATTTAGATATATTAATCCTTTTTACAAAAAATGGAAGTATTTTAAGGAAAACAAAAAATAAATGAAGAAAAACAAAAAATATTAAATAAGATATGAATAAAAATATTTGGAACACTCAGGGTAATATTTATTTACTTTAAAATGCAACAATAAGAACCCTTTTTATAGGGAACAAAAAAACAACCCAATAAAATCCTTGAAGAATAGGTCAAGGGGAGAAGGGGCAGCAAAAGAGCAAAGACTATGCAAATTAAAACCAAAGGGTAAAATTTTTATCTAAGGGGGGTATACAATTGTACCCATTATATTACTTGAGAAATGCAAACCCTAGTTCATATTTATATCCATCTTTTTAATTTCAAGAAAATAAACTTACACAATACCATATACTATACCATATATTTTCATGGTAAATTGGGAGATTATTATATGATAAAATCAAGAACTTCAATTCATAACAAACCACAAAATTAACACCAACCTCAAAATATATAGTCTTAGAAGTGAAGCCCCAATTTTGTTTTTTTTTGGTGAAAGGGTAAAAAAGAAATCAAGAAGAGTAAAGCTTAGAGCTTTAGGGCGGCGGCGATGGATATATACACGTACATCAAATGTGAAGTGGAGGTTCACCTGGCGGCGGAGTCGGCGGCGGCGGCCGCTTCCGCTTCTTCTTCTCGTAGCTGATTCCTCTGGCTTTGGACTGCAGATCCCGGACTTCCCGGAGGTAGAGCCGGACTGCCCGAGCCCCAAACGGGTTGGTATCGGGCGTTCCCCCGTTCTCCTCGTAGGCCGCCCGAAGCCGCCCGATGAGCGCGTCGAGGCTGCCCCAAGCCTGCCGGAGCGGGCAGGGGCACGGCACGGGCGGGTTCGGGTGGCCGTAGAACGGGCATATCTGGTTGTGGACCTTGGTCTTCCCGAACTGGTCCAAGTACCTGAGGAACTCCAGCACGTGGGCCCCGCTGCACCGCGACAGGGCCAGCGGGGGACGGTGGTTCTTCAGGTACTGCCCGAACGTGTTCCAGTCCCGCCGCTTCTGGTTCTCGTACCGGCTCGACGATCCCGCCGCCGCCGCCGCCACGGGAGCCGCCACCGTCTCCGCAGCCACAAAGTTCGCGCTTTCGGCGGAGGTGGCGGCGGCCACATCATGATGGTGATGATGGGGAATAGGAAAGGAATCCATAAACATGTTTTGATATTATTTCCTTTCCTTTTGTTGCAAATTCAAGAAAATTTTTGTTTTTGTTTCTAGGGTTTTTTCTTCTCTCACCCAAAAGAAACCAAACCAAGAAATCAAATCAAAAGAGATATAAAAGGAAGGAAATTAAGAGGGGAAATGAAAGTGAAGAATGGGAGTGATTGATTGTGAGAAGGTTTCCATATTTGCTAGAGAGAGAAAGATAGAGAGAGAGAGATTTGTGTTGGGTTTGGGAAGAAGGGGAAATGATAATAGAATTGAAGTGACTAGATAGAGGAGGGATTGATGGGAGAGTGGTTTAACTCAGAATTTGATGATGGCCCAAAATGAGGGATTTTTTTTTTCAGTTTCTTGGTATAAGCAAAAAATCCAGGAAATCATGGGACTGGGGGGGAGGCGGGTGTGGTGGTGGAGGTGGTGGCCGGTGGAGGAGAGGGGTTGCCAGTGGAGGAAGCTATCATTTTAGTTGCTCTTTATATGAGAAATACGGAGTAAATCTCACAAATTTTTTAAGGCTTGTTTGGGAACAACTTTAGACATTGGCGTTTGGATTTTGAAAGGCTATCTACGGGCAGCATTTAGCGTTAGTTTTTTCAAAGTAATTTGTACCGTTAAAATTTTATCTAAAACACTAACTCTAATCTCTAATGCTATTCCCAAACAGGCCTTTAGTCGATTAAAATCAGAATTTAATTTCTCTCTTCTCATATGAATGTCCAAGATGAGAATGAAGACTCTAGAACCAATTAGCATTTCATTTTAATTAAATACTACCTCTGCCCCTAAATATTTCTCCAGTTTTGACATTTTTGAGTAAACTATTTTCAATTTTGGATCTATAATTAAATAAAATGTTTGTTGCATCTTAATTAGATAGAATATTATTTTGAAAATATTTGATATAATTGATCTAATAAAAATATTTTTGTATCAATATCAAATATCTTTTAATTCTTATTTAATTTGAGGTTAAAGTTTGCCAATTTTTACTGAAAAAAGTTAAAAGTGGATAAATATTGAACTACTTAGAGACGGAGGGAGTACTTCATTTACCAAAATGAATTTCTCTTTGAATGTACATTGAAGTTATATTTATTTATGGAGAATTTACTTAAATAACATTAAAATATAATGATTTTCTTAAAGTAGTACTCCTTCCGTTCTATAAAAGTGTTCCTATTTTGACTTTGTGTAAAAATAAGAAAATGTTAAATTGTACGGAGTAGTTGACTTCCAATTTTGTACTTGATGTGATGGGTAAAAGTAAGATGTAATGGATTGAGTATTTTATTTTGTACTTAAATAAAATTTCTAATTTGTTGAAATAATACATTTATTTTGTACTCAACTTCTTAGTCTTGTATTATTTAGATTAGGAGCATTATGTTAGAGGTAATTAGAAAATTGCAATATTGAGTATGAAATAAATCTAGTATCACAACTTTGTAGAAATGCTAATTACATTTAAGGATCAGTTTCAAAATAATTATTTTTAAAGAATCATGTTAACCGTAGAATAACCGCTAACATTAACAACAAAAATTACATGGATGAAAACAAAAAATTATCTTTATTACATAGACTAAGAACATAACTTTTAATTTTATTTTATTACTCTAATCTGTATATAGAAATTTTAAAAAAAGACTATACTCCACTACTCAATGATCATCCGTGGCATGATCATATCATTCTTTTTCACTTATGTATAGATTTGAAAATTGGGTTACCCATTGGTAAGATAAAAAATCATAATTAGCGTGTTTATTCTTTTTTTTTGCTCAATATTTGAAAGTAGGTAAATTCGTTTGCTTTTTTAGGTCCAGACTTATTTTAAGAATTTTAATACATACTCCGTAACTGATTATACTTTGTTTGTATTAAGCTATGTAAATAAAAAGAAATTCAATTATTAACCCATAAAAATAGGAAATATGAGAAAAAATTAATTTTATAAGGGGAATTAAGGACTAAATAATACTAGTACAATTGTTAAAAGTAAAGTCTTAGAAGAAAGTGGTGCAGTAGTAGGTCAGAAACCAGGCTTCTCTTTAATTACCCATAGACAGCATGCAATCCAATTTTGTCTGGGGACAAATGTGAAACCCAATGGGGTTTTACCAAACTTGGGGAAACATATTTACTGCCACTCTCCATTCTTTGATCACTCCTCATTTAATTTCCTTCTTTCTTCTTTTAAAAACGTGTGACTTTTGACCCTTCCAAAATTTTCTTGCAAGTGACTTCTTAAAAAAAAGTAATGCAACATACTTGTAATTAGCAACCAAAAATTGAGAACCTTCTAAGAAAACAACCTCTAGGAGGGTGGAGTTCGCTACGCACTCGTTCAACGATATTACAAAGTCATAGTGGGATCTGAGAGCGGCAGCCCCCGGTAGCAAGGTCCTTCAGATTTTCTTGAACGGAATCCAAAACTTTAAAGATTCGGACGAATGGATAAAACGTCGAAATAGGCTTCAATCGCAGAAAACTCTTCGCGCGAATGTTTGCCTCTTAAGAGAACGTTCTTATGACTTTCGTGCTTAAAAGAGTCTGATCTCTAATTTTCGACACTATAAAAGAGTCTTGTTGGTATGGTTGAGTAACGAATTCGAAGTGCTTGTTCCTGATTATCGTCTTATCGATTAAAATATTTTGGTATACTTCGAAATAACTTTGATATGAAATTAAAGCGTTTACGCGAATTATTGAACAATCAAGTCATTTGTCTGTTTCTTCGTTGTTTAAAAGACTTTAACGCTGCTTCACAGCGTTCTTCATCCTCATAAGTTCTAACACATTCTAAGCGTGTTTGGCCACAATTTGAGCGTATCACTTAATTCTTTTGAAAAGACTATTTTATAACAATATTTCGTTTAATTTTTTCAAATCTTAATCACACCTATTGATGATAATAGAAGGAGAAAATATTTTGTATATATAAATTGGTTTGGAGATTACAAAGGTCTAATCCTTTTTATATAGAAAGAGAGTAAAACAAATAAATAAATTTCTATTCCAACCATAATTCTACTTCTACTAAAGATAAAATAAAACAAAGATGGAAAGTAATCAATCCGAATCCTATAAAGATTCGGCATTGGCTCAGCCTCGGCTTGGCTCAGGCTCGGGCTCGACTTGGCTTGGCTCGGGCTCGGCACCCCAACAACACCATAAAAAAATAATGTAAAATGGTGACACTAATTTAAAAGTAATTTCCAAACATGGGCTCTCCATATAACAATATCAAAACGAATAGAGGTGCGTTTATTTTAGATTTTGAAAAAGTCACTTGGTGGATCATTTTGTTGTCTTTCACAATCAATCAAATGGTTGATTTTCCTCAATCAATTATGAACAATTGAACACCATTATTAGCAGAATTGCAAAACAATCATTAAAGCCAGATGAAACCTTAGAATGAACATCACGATCATTATTATAGCTTAAAATCGGAGATAAGCAAAAAAAATGTGTACTCCCTCCGTCCTAAAATGTTCTTTTCGTTTTTGTTTACGACGTTTGATCATATTTATTTTTAATAAAATTTATTTGATTGTAGATGTCAAATTTAAAAAATAAAATTTATACATTGAAAAAATCCATCAAAAATTCTACCAAACAAGAGATGACAATACTATATTATCTTATAAAATAACTAACAAAAATAAGTAAAGAAAATAGTAACTGGGAAGAATGTTTTAGAAGGAAGAAGTAATTAAGATCTTCATTATTTTCAGGTCAAAATATGATTTGTAACATCAAAATCAATAAAAAAAAAAATACAAAGACACAATACGAAATTATGAGTATTTCAACAAATTCTTCTATGGTCCTAAAGTCCACACTACTTTTATGGATTTTAGTATATATATATATATATATATATATATATATATATATATATATATATATATATATATATATATATATATCATGGATGAATTGTGCTCTTTGAAAAAAAAACTAAAGATCACCATGTCGGCTCATAAAAATGTAAGAAAATCCACATTTCACATGTGGATTTTAGGATCATGGAAGCACAACTTTCAATATATACTCCTTCGTCCTTCAAAAAAACTATCTCCATTCTAAATTAGATTACACAATTTGAAGAATGTCCAAAATTCCTTGATTTTTAAGTTTAATGTATTTACAAATTGGAATAAAAACAAAAATATACTCTGTAACTTACAAATTTAAAAACAAAATCAAAAGTTTTATACAATTAGTGATGATAAAAATATTGTATTTGAACAAATGGTTAATACAAACATAAAAACAATAAAAAAATATCGGGAGCCAAAATAAAAGTTATGCAATCTATTTTGGGAGGAAAGAATTGGAAATATCATGCTAACTTCAAGCTAGCTCTCACACTTCTTTTTGGGACAAAGTAAGATAAATGTCACTAAACTGTCTAAAAATATTCCAATTAGTCACTCTATGCAAAACCAAAGTAATTTAGATCCTATACTTTTTTTTGTTGAGGTCTTTTTTTATTACTTTTATCATACTCCGTAATTATTGCCCCAAATTATTATCAATGATGCCTAATTCATCTTGACATGCTAATTCATAATTTTTTTAAAAAAAATTTTTTTTAAAAATAAGAATAACATACTCCTTCCATCCCACTGTCTTTGTCCACTTATCTTTTGGCACACCATTCAATGCACTTCTTTAATCCATTTTATCTTGTAATTTGTGTATTAAAAAATTATAGAAATTATATATTAATAATCTATATGTTAAGACAAATCAAACAAGATCACACATGACTATATTTAGACTTACACATTGAGAGAATTTGATGAGTCAAAGTGCTTAGATGAACAGTTCCAAATGTCAAAACTGGACGAATACTCCGAGAAGGAGGGAGTATATTCTATTATTAAAAAGATAGGGATAAGTTTATTTATCTCATAAGGACTAAAATAAGACCAGAAGTATGAACCATTATGTCAAACATATGTTCATGTCATCTACAATAAAATTAGACATCATAGCTAGAAATTTGATGCCATTTAAAAGAAATGTGAAGAGAAAGATCTAATTGAAAAAAGAAGAATAGTGCAGAAGCTAAATTAATTCAAATTTGAATACATGAACTAATTTGAACATTTATAATTAGTATCAGAACCTATACAATAGTATGTCCCTCTTTGTAACCTTCTAAAATAAAATATTCCCTCATTTAAAAAAATTGTGTTTTATATTACTCAGTATTTATTTGCCATTATATATGTAAATCACATAGTTTTAAATTCACTTAAACTTAAGGAGAAAACACAATTCCTACTAAAGTTTACATTTTGAATTTTTTTTCTTGAAAATAAGCAGAAGGAACCAATAATGACTACCAAACAGCACCTAAGCTTCATGCCAATCATGACATTCATGAGCTTCAAACTTTTAATCACTCTATAATAATAATAATACACAACAATAAAAGAATTTCATGCTAATCTATCATTCTTTGCTTCCCCTAAACACAAATATTGACAACAATTTGTGTGCGCATATACAAATTTGGCTGCAAATGCTTCTCGAAAGCATTTGCAGTCTTGCAGGATAATAGAGATTCTTATACTGGCAAACAGAACGCTTGCAGAAAAACGTGGAAAATGCCGAAAATACCCCCCACCACGGAGGAGCCAACTTTAGCATCGTAAATAAAAAGGAAAAAACGATAGAGAGAACGAAAAAACCTGCGCTCAAGACTTGCCCCTGCCCATGGCACTTTCGCGTTGGTTCCGAAAGTGACTTAGAAGTTGTTGTGCCTGTTCCAACAAAAACAAACCCAATGATAAACTTTCAAAGCTTAGCTTCAGCGGTTTCAAAGTCATATGTTAAAGCTAAATTAAAAACGTTATTCCCAAACACAAGAATTCATGAAGAAGAAGATGAAGAAGAAGAAGAAGGTAGTAATGGGTTATTAAAAAAACCTTTTCTTTTGCTCTAGTGGTACCAGACTGAGAGAGGGCAACGAGGGGAGGAACGGCGCCTTCTTGCAGCACAAGCCGGCAATACTTGGCACTGTTCAGGCAGAGCTGCAACAGTATGGAGGCGGCGTTCTCCTTTCCCCGCTGGGACCCCACCTCCACTATCTCAACCAGCGGCGGGATTCCCTCTTCCCGTGCAATGGCCGAACAGCCTTCCGGAACGGCCGCCAGGTTCGCCAGGAGAGCAGCCGCTTTGTCCACCATCTCTGTTTCCGGCTCCAGAAACCCCACCAGGTGCCGCACCGCCCCCGCCTGGACTATGCGCGCCTTGTTCTCGTGGAAGATCGAGAGGTTGAAGAGGGCGGTGGCCGCGTCTTTCTTCCCCCGCATGGTTCCGGATCCGAGAAGGTCAACCAGCGCTTTGACCGCGCCGGACCGCCCGATCTTCACCCGGTACTCCTCCAGAAGCGAGATGCTGAAGATCGCCGCGGCGGCGTTCTCCCTCGCGCTAGGGTTTCCCGTCCTCAGCACGTGGAGGAGCGGCTCCAGCGCGCCCCTTCCGGCGATCGCGCCCTTCACGGTCTCGTCTATCGAGAGGTTGAGAAGCGCCGTGACGGCGTGTTCCTGCGCGAGCGACGAGTTCGAGTGGAGCAGCGCGATCAACGGCTCGATCGCGCCGGAATTCCCGATCGCCGCCCGGTTCTCGGTGTTGTGTTTGGCGAGGCGCCGCAGTTCCGCCGCCGCCGCCGCCTGTACATCCGTCGACTGGCTCTGCAAATCTCTGACGAGTTCTTCAAGACGCGAAGCTGTGACTGTTTCGGACTGCGTTTGGGAGCAATGATTGTGTTTTCCTGATGAATCAGAACAGTTCTTATTCGAATCCGTCGCAGCGAGTGGAAGATAATCCACACTGGAAGCAACACTTGATGCCGATTCGCTCCTGCTATGAACATATGAATGTTCTGGGGATGAATGATCAGACTTTTCTTCTGATTCCTATCAAATGAAGAAAAAAACAAGAATGATTTTGGAGAAACCAATGCATAGATACATTATAGACACAAACATACCCTTAGTTCATCTTCCTCAGCGACTCCATCAGGAGTGGAACAAACATTGCCAGCTCTGTCAGGCCTCCATTTGTTCTGCTTGCACCAGGTTTCCACCAGATCTTTGACAGTGACATTGGGGATGAGGTTTGAGTGGGAGAGCTTAAGGCGCGTTTGGGGGCACGTATTCAGTCCCTGACCCATCCATTTCTGAATAGAGCTTCTCTCGTACGTTTGCCCGGACGAAACAATGACCGGATCCAACATGAGGGCCAGAGACAATGGGCACAAGAAATAGGGAGGGATTTTGAGCCCATCTAATGAAGTCAATTCGTTGTCGAGTTTCATCAACGAACTGCGGATTTGGGACATGAGTTCGGTCGCCCGGTGGATGTTTTCCCCCTTTTTGTGGTCTTCTGCTTTGAGTCTCTCCTTCTCCAGCGCAATGCACTCATTCAGAATCTCCTGAGAGGATGTGAGATTCAAAGACTGTGTAATGGCCATAAGATGTTGGGAGGAAGGGGCATTTCCTTCCTTTAGCCTTTCGACAGCTTCCTTTATGCATTCTAACTTGTCCGGTTTTGAACAATTATAAAGCTCTTGCATTCGGCGCTGAAATGCATAACCGTCATCAGTATGTGTGTGTGTGTGTGTGAGAGAGAGAGAGAGAGTCATTTGGCAATTAGGTATGGTGAAATGAAAAGTTAGTGTAAAGAATGATAGTTGTTTGGGATAGAGTAAATTATATAAAAGGTCCCCAGTTATAGGTCGTTTTACATATTTAGTCCCTACATATCAAATATTACTAATTTAGTCCCCAATTATTATATTCATTTCCACGAATGGTCCTTTGTTAACATTTCCGTTAAGAACGTGGATAAAATTGTATATTCATACTTCTCTATCTCCTCAATTAAGCTTTCTTCATCTTCTCATACTCTTTCCCAAACTCGTCGCTGAGTTTGAAGCTCTTAAACCCAAAATTTAAATGATCGTTCCTCCAGTTAGACAAACAATTGAGAGAAGAGTGATGATTTTGGTTTAGGGTTCAATGCTACAAACTCAGCGACGGGTTTGAGAAATGAGTACAAGGGAGGAGAAAGCTTAATTGAGGAGAGAAAGGAGTGTGAATTTATAATTTTATCCACGTTTTAATGAAAATGTTAACAAAGGACCATTCGTAGAAATAAATATAATAATTGGGGACCAAATTAGTAATATTTGATATGTAGGGACTAATTATGTAAAACGACCTATAACTGGGGACCTTTTATGGAATTTACTCTTTGGGATAAGAAGTTTTGTAATGAGATGAACAAGAAACCTAGTAAAAACCCACAAAAAGTAAGGTTTGTGAGGGTGTGTGTAAATATATTTTTACAAAGATACAGTGTTTTTTTAAAAAATATTAACAAATAATAATAATACTAACAAAATAGTCAAAGCTAAGGATCAGTTTGATAGTAAAAAAATAACTTGTTGAGGAAAATTTGTTTTGTTTTTCATGAATATGTTTTCTTGGAATATACAGTAAGTTGTTTTCAAGAGAAAAGACTTTTCAGTATAATGTTTGATCCACAAAAGTAGAAAAACATGAAACTGTTTCAGAAAAACAACTTCCTGTTTTCTCAAACAGGAAAATGTTTCCAATGCACAGCACACCAAAGACTTCGCAGGAAATTGTTTTCCTATGCCAAACAAAAGAAAACATTTCCCAAGAAATGCTCAACCAAAAAAAACAAACTTGTGGTTAAAGGTCCAGTAAAAGTTTTTATACTCCAACACCCCTTCTAGGAGATTTATTTTTACTCTAGTCTTGCACGTGAACATGATTTTTTTTAACGTTGTGGCAAACGTTAATTTTTAAAAAATGGGTGATGGTAAGGTTGAGCAAGGCTTTGATATCATGTCAAAGAACCATTTGAACCAAAAGTTCAAGATCGTGTTTGTAAGCCCAAGATAGGTTTTTTACTCACCTCGGTTTCATATAGTCTCAAATGAGACGTTGATGGTTCTAACAATCCACATAAAATGTGAGAAATGTCGAGAGAGGAGTTCTTGATTTTCAGTAGTAGTTGCTTGCTCTGCAAAACCTGGTTACATAACACCAAAACACAACAAGATAAACATAAGAAGATCATCATCTTGAAAACAACAACCCTTCAAATGTTTTGTTTTTCAAAATTCAAAGATCTTCAATTCAAAATGCACTCACGGAGAGAATCTTGCTCTTCTTTGGAGAATAACTCTCCAGGAATTCCCGGGCTTCATTGACAGTCATGTCCAGTTCTTCACACTTCCTGCAGACACGTTTGTCCAAAGGCACTTTTTTGTCAACAACTTCATCCAGAACAGGCTTCAAAAGTTTCAACACACTTGCAGTGTCCTCAAAATCTCTCTGGCCAAACGCTGCCTTAGATGTGCGACAGGATACGAGAAGAATGAACCTAGAAATGCTGTTTATAAGGCATCCTACGGATGTCGAATCCATTTGACCTATACACATGAATTCGGACCAATTGAGTTCATCAGCCCCATAAGATCACACAATGCAGATGGGAAATGTTAACAGTATAAAAGCTGAAATGGGTATAAATCCTTTGCCAATTGTTAAGGCATGAAACCTTTCTTGTACCTTCAAACACAAGCTACAATAGTTTCTTCACAAGAATGAAATTAGGGTAAATTGGGTCCAAATGCAGACCAAACATTAATACAAACTGTTCCTATATGCAAACATCAAAATCAAATTTTTAAAAAAAAGAATTGAACCCGAAGAAATGTTTTCGTTCATAAACGCAGAGAGATTGGAAAGAAGAAAGGGTCGAATTCGGACCTGAGCTAGGTTGAGGAGCATGAAGAAAGAACAGATCTTGGAGAAACAATGGCGGAATCTGAGAAAGGAAGAAGCTTTAACAAGAAAGCTGAACAGACCCCATTGAAGAAAACATCAGAATTAATGTGACCCCTTTTCTCCAACAATCATTACAGAGGTGCCAACCCTTTTCGGTGGAGTTTCATTCTCACCCCTCGAGATTGAGAGAGAGATGGAAAGAATTTTTACAGTGTTTTTTTTCAAAGATAGGGTTAGAAGCGGTCGCCGGTGGCTGCAGAAGATTTGTGGCATTTCTTGGTGGGATTAAATTGACGTCTTCAATTAAGAAACCTGCAAATCAACTAATCAAAGGTTAAGAAACCAACGAAGTAAGAGTAGTTTGACTTTTTCGTCAAAATAGAACAAATTTTACACTTTAATCAATTAAATATTACTCCCTCCATTCCATATTAACTGTCCATTATGACTTTCTTGGTACATTAAAAAATGAATGAATGTAGACATAAAGTATGTTTATATTCATTCATTTCTCAATGTACTAAGAAAGTCATAATGGACAGTTAATATGGAATGGAGGGAGTACTCCGGTACTCATTACTCTCATGTTTTAAAACTAATTTCACATTTGATTTTCTAGGGTCTCCAATGTAACACTTTGACCTGTAATATACTCGTATCTAGTTTTACATAAATATATACTCCGTATTATAAAAATAAAATTTTTCAAGATATGTTTCAAAATAAATCTAATCATAACAATTTTATATTAAAATTCAATGTATTTTTTTCTAAAAAATGCCCTCAAAGTTTAAAAAGTTTAACTGCAAAAGTGAAACTGAGAAGTTACTTTTAAGATAGAGAAAGTATAATATATTTGTACAAAAATGATTTGGTAAGAGTGTAATACTTAGCTTGTACGTGTAAGAATTTCTTGTTATGCATGATCGTCTTTTATCATTGTTGTTAGAAGTTGAACCAAATATTATTTCATTTTATATCTTCTTATTTATTGACCAACTAAATTATGTTATCTAAGCTCCTTTTTAATAGTTTTATCATAATATAAACTTTTTTTTTTTAATCCATTTTTCTTTTTTGTGAAGTTTTATGTCCATCTTAACCTTATGATAAAGGTCACATGGTTAATTTCCAATTTACCAATATCTCAAGTGAGATATACCAAAGTTTGATCTCCATGTACATTATGCAAAAAATATTTAACTAATGTTAAATTTTGAATTGCTTCGTATATTTTAGTTACTTAGAGAAATGTTTAAAAGTATTAAAGCAAAAAGTCATCCATTAAATTTGTTTTTCAATATTCTAATGCTAACGCAAAAAGGGCAAATAAATAATCATCCTTTCATTTTAATTCAGGTGTTTATTTTCACAATACCACGTATTTAGGAAGTTGGACTAATGTAAGAAAAAGTAGGATAATTTTACATTATTTCTTAATACCGAATCTTGTAGTAGTTGTATTATTCGTTTGAATTATTTATATTAAAACTCATTATGAGATTAAAATTTACAAACTCTTAAATTATACTCATAAAATTGTTAAGAATCTACTATGTAACATTATTTCAATACTTTTTTATGTGAGCCACAATAATTCTTTCTTCTACCTCAATTCAGCCGATTTTCAATTCATTAAATTTGTTCAACTAACTAATTTAACATTCTAACTCGACGCATCTTTTTAAGATGTTGAAAAAATTATTCCGTCAACCTTCATCTCTTGGTGCTTCATAAATGTTGAAGAGACCCTATGAGGCAAAGTTTACTCAAATGTGGCATCAAAATCAATTTGTATCACCAAAAACTATTTAAAATGTTAATTCTAAATAAAAAACAATGAACATTCATCCCCAAAAAGGCTCTTCAGCACCAACCGGATAATTAATTGAGAATAAGTTAATTCAATTTTAAAAACATGGGGCACAAAAGCGTGTGTCACTTTATTAAAATCCATACCACTTTCTTACCTCTTTTCATTTCATATAAATTGTCTATTATAACTTTCTCTATACATTAAAAAACAAATGAATATTAACATACATTTATATCTACATTCATTTATTTTTCAATATATCAAGAAAATTTACTTGTCATGTTATGATCTCATCCACTATTTCTACTCTCTTGTAACTGCCTTAATGATAGTTAAGTGAACCATTAATGGCATTTAACAATGTTTAACTGTTAGTGATATACTCGTACTTGCAGAGTTGTGGAGGGGGTTGGGGACTTGGGGAACCAAATTACTCCGTGTTATTGGAGTATTTACAATTTTAGTCCCTTAAAGAAATGGAAGTTTCAGCTAGTAAAGTATTAATGATTTTATATGTGTATGTGTGTGTATATATATAAATATATAATATTTCAAAAACTACTTTTGTCAAGGATCAATGGTATTAAAACACCCAATAAAAGTCAAAACAATCCATAGGAAGTGACTTGAAACAGAAGAACAGAATAATCGATTATAACACACACACATGGAAAGGAACTGCAGACTTTAAGACCAGCAGAGCAGTCAAAACAACATTTGCCCAAAACAACTGAAAAACTACACTTTGTATACATAAAATCCAGTTTGGTTGTGTAGAATAAACATCAATTTTTTCCCAGCATCTCAATCAGCTCTACTTTCTTCAATTTTGAGTACCCTTTCAGACCACGGGACTTCGCAAGCCCTCTCAGTTCAAGTACTGTCATTTCGTGCAACTTGTCAGTGTCAACTTCCTCTTCTTTTTCTTGTTCTTCTTCTTCTTGTTCTTCTTCTTCTTCTTGAATGTTGCCATTATGAATCTCACTACTCGCATCTTCATCTGAACTTAATTTGTTACTTTCCTCATCGGCATAGGCAGGTGCAATTGCATCCAGTGAATCTTCCCCAAAAGAATAACTGGACTGAATCTTGACCCTCGAAAGCGGCGATCTCTTTCTGAAGTTTGATTTTGGTCGGTCCAATACAGTCGCTTCACTCTCTTGTTTATCAAGCATCGAAATGATTTTAGATTCAATCACATCTTTGCCCTTGTCAGAACTATCAATGGTTTTCTCCTCTTCCTGAATAAAGTCAGCACTGTCAATGGTTTTCTCCTCTTCCTGAATGAAGTCAGCACTGTCAATGGTTTTCTCCTCTTCCTGAATGGAATGCTTCCTTAAAAGCTTCACAAGTGAATCAACTGCTTCGCTCTCTTTACCGTCGCTAACCTTTCTTGACACCTCTACTTTCCTTTCTTCTTTTGCAGTTGCTGCTGCTCTTGCACGGAGTTGGGCCTGAACCTTCCTGAACAGTTCAACAATCTTCTTCTCCCTATGGCCCGGAGTTACATTGGGTTGGGCTTTTGGTGGTTTTGAAGACAACGTATCAGACTCTCCTAAATTCTCATAGTCATCACTGTCCTCGGTTTTCCTGTTCCTACCACTTCGGGATGTGCCATGCTTGTTATAAGTTGAGAATTCTGGATTCCTCCTATGGTTGATAGGCCTACTAGCAGCATTACAAACAAACGACATGCTCCTCGGAGTTGTTTCTAGGCATAAAATATTGACCATCCCAAATTTATCGCGGCGACATGGTATTATGTTCCCTAGTGTTGCAGATTTCCCAGAGCATGGGAAACATTTTCCATGTAACAAACCACCACATCCTGAAACAAGTTGTGGAAGGACATTCACATAAAACTTAATCAAGAAACCATCTGAAATCCAATACGTTCAGCAGCTACTTAGAAGGCCATTGTGCATTAATGATTGTAAACCCCAAAGAAATCAGCTTGGTCAACTGAAAGGCTATAAAGTATAAGCTCCTCAGAGCAAAAACCATTCATAAAGAAACCTTCCCACCCACACCGGCTTTCTCACAGACACAAAGAATGGAGGCAAAGCAAACACCATCAAAATTCAAATGTTTACACCACTCACTCTACAGCGTACTAAAGGAAAGCCGAACAATAACGCTGGAAAGATGAAAACCTTGCAGGCATTTCATCGAACACAAAGCGTGCAGATAGTAAAAATTTAAAAAAAAAAAAAACAAAACCCAAAGAAACAAAATGGCCCAAAATGGTAACTTTAAGCCACCATTTAACAAAGAACGCAGAAAAAGATGATGCCGAACCAGAAAAACATGAGTGTTTTCTTACATAATCTATGAAGCAGGAAAGGTTGTCCGCAACCTTATACACTGGAAAGCATAAGGTACACAGATAACCAAGAAATGAAGCAGAGATATTTACCTGAAAAGCTTTTGGCAGTGAAATCAACTCTGCACAGCATTGCTTTGAAACCACTCCGAGCTTAGAGGATTTTGAAATGGCAGTTTTGCTGCCCTGGTTATATGTGATCGGGAATTTGGGTGGGTGGCTATGGAAGATTCGGTATTTGGGCCTTGCGGGTGGACATAAAAACGGCTACCGGCCCATGAATGAAGGAAGAACAAACTTTTTCTAAAAGTGGGTCTGGAAAGAGAAATTAGGATCAATCATTCGGGCTTTGGACAAAGCCCGTTAGTAAAGAGATCATGTTTTGGACAAACCTTACAAGCTTAAATCCGGCCCGGTATCCTCCAATAAAAAGTCTAAGGTTTTTAACATGTGAAATTTGCCCGGAATAGGATTAAAACATAAGTCATTTTCCAATATACAATTTAAACTTTTTAATTTCTTAAATAAGACTTAATAATTAATAGTAAGAAAAATAATATCCAAGTGATACTGAACATTTAGTTGAATAATAACTAATAGATAATGACCAATGGTCCTACATTGAGAAATAAAAACATATTGTCCTATATTAAGAAAGTCATTATATTTTAGTCTTATTTAGTAAAGTACCCTTTTAACATTCTTAAGAAATTACTCTCTAATCTCTATCCCTTTATGTTATTCTTAGTTTGAGCACAATATCGTCGAGTGTGAATGTGTAAAAAAAGAAACATGTAATTATGAATCATAGAAATGATAATGACAGTGGTCGTGACCACGGCGAGAATCACGCAAGTATAAAGGGTAAGAAAATATTTTTGAGGGTAAGAAAATATTTTTTTGAAAATACGGAGTATAAGGGTAAAAATGTTTTTTAGTAGAAGTGGAAGTTGTTAGAGAAAACAAAAAATAAAAAAAAAGTGTTTTAAGAATTAAAGGAAAAATAATTTTAAGACACTATAAGAAATATTTGCACTAAATAGCACTAAAACTTACGTCATTTTCCTAAATAGCACTTAAATAGTTTTATTCCCTAAATCGCACTTAATAATGTCCATAATGCCCAGTAATACAAATATTTACTTGAATAATGATTAATGCATAATGACTAAAAGTGCTACATTGGGAAGAAAAACACATATTGTGCAATTCAGGGAAAGTCATTATGTTTTAATGCTATTTAAGTAAATTTCCTCACTCTATAATCTACTCCTTCGATCCCAAAAAGATTGGTACATATTGACTTTTTGGAAAATTAATTAAGAGAGAAATATTTTGGTGTTGACTTTCCAAAAATATCCTTGATGTGATGGGTAAAAGTAGGATGTGATGGGTAGATAATTAGAAAAAAGGTATGATGTGATAGGTAGGGTATGAAAAAGTAAGGGGTAAAAGTGGTTTTTTAATAGAAATGTAACGGACTTTACGAGACGCATTTTTGTTTAAATGGAGAGAGTAGTACCTTTGATTATTGAATGTTGGCCCACATGCATGGTGCATGCATATACGCCGGAGCGGCACAGAGCTTCCGGACAAGAGAAAAGCTGTGGTGGCCGATCCACATATATTTATAAAATCTCGATCATGAGAGTATTGTGCCACATAGCTTGGCTCACACAGACTTAGGTGTTAGCCATGCACGTAATCAATAGCCATGCAGATTGTCCGTTTCTCCCCTTATTTTCTCCCATATAAACCCTACCATTCCCTTCGCCGCTTCACACCACATCTCCATCCATCTACCAAATACCTATTTGCAATCACTTCAATATAATGGCAGCCACACCAACTCGAGTCTGGGCTTTGCTCAGCCTTCTCCTCCTCTTCCAAGGCGGCGCCTTTGGCCGCCGGAGTTTCGCCGGGAGCCGGGACGAGTGCCAGCTCCGGCGGATCAAGGCCTTCGAGCCCTCCCTCCGCGTCGAGGCGGAGGGCGGGGTGACGGAGGTGTGGGACCCATTGAACGAGCAGTTCCGGTGCGGGGGTGCCCATGCTTTCCGCCATGTTATTTACCCCAATGCCACTCTCTTGCCGTCCTACACCGGCAGCCCCCTCATTGCCTACACCCTACAAGGCACGTCTTTATTCTAAAATTTACTCCGTCATCCCTAAATATTTGTTTACTTTTAACATCTTACAGTCTATCATTTTTTTATTATTTTTTAACTCCCACTGCCTTCCGATTATAAAACTCTTCCTGTTTTAACTATTTTTAGTCAAAAATTGACAATTTTAATTACAAATTAAATATAATCTAAAAAAATTAATGTTATAAAAATTTATATGTTGAGTATATCCTAAAATGAACTTAATTATATTAAATATATACTTTCTCCACTCCTTTAAACCATTCTCTTTTGATTTTAGGCCAAAATAAGGAAAGTGTATTTTTGGTTGATTTTTCAATTTTGTCCCTAATATAATAGTTTAGTTATTAGAAAAAAGTATGATGTGATAGGTAGTGTATGAAAAAATAGGAGTAAATGTGATTTTTTAATGGAACAAAGGTAGTATTATAATTCAATATAATCTTCTCATAATTTATGGTTAAAAAGTGTTACGATATGATAAGTTTTTAGGACTGGAGGGAGTACCATTTTTATTTAGTTAATAATAAAAATTTGAATAATTTTTATTGTAAAAAATTAAAACTGAACAAATATTCAGGAATAGAAATATTATACTCCGTATGTATATTTCATAATAATTTGGTGGTGTTATAAATTTTAAAACAATTAAAGTCTTATTTTAAGTAACATAATTTTGTAATTAAAGAGGTGTGTATGATGGAAATCTATATATGAACAGGGGAAGGGAGATTTGGGATAGTATTCCCGGGCTGTCCGAACATACACAGGTCCATAAGAGGGGCAGACCAGCACCAGAAGATAGGGACGTTTGAGAAAGGGGACATAATAGTGTTTCCAGAAGGGGCAGCTCATTGGGTGGCCAACACTGGAAAAGACGATGTTGTCCTCATCGTCATTCAGGACACCTCCAACTCTGCTAATCAGCTTGACGCTAACCCCCTCGTACGTCTATTAAATGCTCCTCCCGTGTCCTAAAAAGTTTTCGAAATTTTTAGAAGGATTTTTGATAAATAGCACTCAAACATAATACGGAGTAGTTTTTTTTAAAGAAATATTTGCACTAAATACTAAATAACACTGATATTTAAGTCATTTTTCTAAATAACACTTAAATTATTTTATTTCCTAAATAACACTTAATAATGTCAATAATGTCCAATGATGGTAAAAATTTACTTGAATAATGACTAATGAATAATGACTAAAAGTACTACATTGGGAAAAAAATACATATGGTTCTATTTAGGAAAAGTCATTATGTTTTAGTGCAAGTAAATTTCCTTTTTTCTAAATAGCATCATTTGTTTTTTTTCATTATCCATTAGTGATAACTTTGCCATTTTTTTCTTTCAATCTATGCAGAGATTTTTCCTCGCCGGTAATGGGCAGTCGAAAGAGGAGGAGATGAAAAGCCGCCGGCAGAAGCATGGGAAGGAAGAGGAAGAGGAGGAGGAGGAAGGCAGCCAACGATCAGAACAGCAACTCCTGGAGGGGATGGGCTACGGCGGCGGCAACATTCTGGGCGGGTTCCGGTCCCGGTACGTCCGAGACTCGTTCCGGACGGACAAGGACACGGCGGAGAATCTCCAGGGAGCAAAGGACGGGAGGGGCCACATCGTGCGCCTCGAGGCAGAGGATCTCCTCTCCATTCTCGCCGTGCCGTTCTCCTCCCCGGAGGACGACAACGACCGCTCCGCCGCCGGTAACGGCGTGGAGGAGACCATCTGCACCGCCAGGGTACGGCAGAACATCGACGACTCCTCACGCGCCGACATCTCTGACCCACTCGCCGGTTACTTCTTCACCGTCAACAAATATACCCTCCCCATTTTCGGCCTGGTCAAACTAAGCGCTGGCCACGGCTCTCTTAAAAGGGTACGTCGTCGTCCTACACTCATACTCCCTCCGTCCCAAAAAAAATTACACGTTTCAAAAAAATTGTGTCTCACAATCTCTTACCCATTTCTATTAAAAAACCACTTTTACCCCTTACTTTTTTAAACCCTTTCTATCACATCATACCTTTTTCCTAATAATCTACACATCACATCCTACTTTTACCCATCACATCAAGGGTATTTTTGGAAAGTCAACACAAAATTATCCCTCCCAAAATTTTAACTTTAGTCAAAATGGGTAACACTTTATGGGACGGAGGGAGTACATTTTTTCTAATAATTTTATCGAAAATAGGCCCCAACAAAATGAATAAAGATTGTCTCTGTGAAAAGTGAACGAGAAAGATAACTTTTGGACAGAGGACTAACATACTCTTTCCGTTTGTTTAAAATAATTTCACCTTCATTTTTTACTATAGGCATCTCACAAAATACTTTTGAGAAATTTGCCTAAATTGGACTAAAACATAATGACTTTCTCAATATAGGATCATATATTTTTATTTCCCAATGTAGGATCTTTGGTCATTATGAAGTAGTCATTATTCAAGTAAATGTCCATCATTACTGGACATTATTCCTCCCACTAGGTCATTATTAAGTCCTATTTAGAGAATAAAAAAGTTTAAGTTCTACATTAGAAAAGTCATTATGTTTTAGTCGGCAAATTTCACAATACTTTTACCTCATCTCACCTCATCTCATAACATTTAATTTTCCAGAACTGGGGGATAGTGCCAAAATGGTGCATGAACGCGCACAGCTACGTGTACGTGATGAGCGGCAGTGCGAGAGTTCAGATCGTGGACAATCGGGGGGACTCCGTCATGGATGACGAGGTCCGGAGGGGGCAGCTGTTCCTCGTGCCTCAGAACTTCGTGGTGGCAATGGAGGCGGGAGAGGACGGGTTCGAGTGGGTGGAGTTCAACACCAACGACGACGCCATGTTCAACACGCTTGCGGGGACCACCTCCGTCGTCGCCGGGTTCCCGGCCGGAATAGTGGCGGCGGCGTACCGGCTGCCCCACCAGAAGGCGGAGGAGCTGAAGCGGGACATGTTGAACAGTGTCTGGTTCTTCAAGTCCTCTTCTTCAGGAGGAGGAATGAGATCATCGTACCGGTCTATTCTTCGCTTGGAATAGAATTAACCAGTCCGGTATTTGGTTTCGCGTTTGGTTTAAGGAAATTTGGAATAAGAGAGGATGAGAGAGTGGATGTGTAGTATAATGTGACGTTTCTCGCTAGCTATGGTCAAGAAATAAATTATGAGATGAATAAATTGTTGTTTTTTGTCGTCATATTTGTATCATGATGGCATTTTTACAGTCATATTGTATGATTTAACTTAATCGTCAATTAAATAATGTTTATTTGGGGATGGAGGGAGTACCATTTATTATATAAATATTTTCAAAATATAATTTTATCTAATTAATACGGAGTATAATATACTCCCTCCATCTCTAAATAAACTTTAATTTCCCTTTCGTTTTTTCTTTGTCCCCAAATAAACTTCTCTTTTGTCTTAAAAAACCTCTTTTACCCCTTACTTGTTCATACCCTACCTATCACATCATACCTTTTTACTAATAATCTACATATCACATCTTACTTTTACACATCACATCAAGGGTATTTTTGGAAAGTCAACACCAAAATATACCTCCCTTAATTTCCTAAAAAGTCAAAAAAGGAAGTTTATTTATGGACAAACGGAGTATATTTTACTCCGCATTTAATTATAGATCAAAGTTTAATTTGAGAATCATTAACTTAAAAAAAAGGTAGACAAATATTCAAGAATGAAGGTAATAATACGTACTATGTACTTTCTCTATCCCGCAAAACATTCCCTGTTTTCTTTTTTAAGAGGGAAACTGTAGAAATTTTTACTAGAGTAAAACGATGATAATTGAAATAAGTAGGACTCATGAATTGTCAAAATGAGTAGGTCGTAGAAGGCCGCTGAGGTAAATTCAATTAGATTTAAAAAAAGAAAAGTCAATTATGTCTATTTAGCCAAAAATTGGAATATATTATGAGACAAATAAGATGTATAAATTCAAAAAAAAATTTGGGAGAGATAAATAAGTAATTATGAAACCAGTTTCAAAATACTTCATCCGTCCCACAAAACTCTTCTCCTTTCATTTTTCATTCGTCCCAAAAAACTCTTTCCTTTTCTATTAAAAGATCATTTTTACCCATATTAATTCTTAACCTATCAATCGTATTACACTTTTTTATATTAATCTACCTATTACATCCTACTCTATCCATTATATCTAAGGGCATTTCTGGAAAGTCAACACCAAAATACGCTCCTTTTAAATCTTTTAAAAATTAAAATGAGAAGTTTTTTTTTGCGGGATCAATGATAAATTGTCAAGGAACCAACTCAACCAGAAGCTCAAGCTTGTGGTTGTGGCCCAAGAATGATTGTTATATACTCTAACACGCCCCCTCACGTGCAGGCGTGGCCTCTTTGAGCCTTGCATGTGAAACTTTAATTTTTTTTAATATGGGTGGCGGTGAGTTTCGAACTCGAGACCTCTTGGTCATTAAGGCTCTGAAGCAAAGTATAGAGCTTTGGCTGTCCTTACATGTGAGTTGAAGTGGTTGAAGAATGTATTGCGGTGTTTAGGGGTTGAGCATAAGAACCCCATGACGGTCCGGTGTGACAGCATGGCAGCACTTCACATTGTTGCTAATCCGATTTTTCACGAATGCACGAATTAAAGCACATTGAGATTGATTGTCACTTCGTTCGTGATGAGCTCTTGCGAGGAGAGATATGTACACTTCATGTGTCTACTACGCATCAGCTTGCAGACATTCATATCAAGGCACTCGGAAAGTCACGTTTGGAGTTTCTTCTTCCCAAGTTGGGCATTTCTTTACTACATGCTCCAACTTGAGGGGGGTGTTAAAGGAAAGAGAATATTTGGTAGAATATTTGGAGATATTTGTGTATATTTTGTTTTGATAGTTTTCCTTGTATAGGGATTCTTTCCTTTTCTTTTTCCTTTGCTTATTAGGAGTCTCAACTTGTGAGATCCTATATATATGTTCTCATTGTAAATTGTAAACACAAGAGAGAAATAAAGAGAATTTCTCCCAAATAATTTTTTCATAAATACACAATCTAATGGTCGGATATGTGGAATATATGCCATACGGTAGAAGCTATACCAATATGAGTAGATCGAATATGTGTGCGGAGAAATTACGCAAATTAAAGTAGAGTTCATGTGCCACATACCGCTTCGCTATCAACCTAAAGTTTTACCACATACTTATCTTTAACTATCAAAATAAAATTACTGATGAGTATTAAATTTATTCCCTCCGTTCTTAAAAATATGAGAAATTTTAATTTTTAAGAAAATTAACAAGAATGTATTTTGGTATTAGTTTATAAAAATATTCTCGAATGTGATAAGTAAAAAAAAATTGATGAGTAGATTTATAGTGAATAGATGTTATGTGATATGTAGGTTAAAAATTAGTATGGCTAAAAGAGACTTTTATGTAGAAATGAAAAAAGCTTTTGGGACGGATAAAAAAGAAATGAGAAAAATTTTTAGAGACGGAAAGAATACATCACAATAATTATGCTTTTTTTAAAAAATATTTTTTCAGTCAATATTCAAAAATATCACAATAATTATGCTCTTTTTTTAAATATTTTTTCAGTCAATATTAAAAAATATTAATCGTAAAAAGTTAAATGAAAAAACAAAATGGATAATGAGTACCGGAGTATTATTTTATCAAATTCTAATAAGAGAAAAGTGCATGGATTACCCCCAAACTTCTTTGAAAGTACACGATTTACCCCTAAAGAATAAGAAGTGCACCAATCACCCCTCAAATATGCAAACTATTGCACCAATGGTCCCCCATTCCGAGATCCGGCATGCGTTTCTCCCACGCACCAAAATTGCGACTCTGATTCACATCGGCCCTTTGAAATTCTCGAAATTACCCTCCAAAATTATCTTCTCGACTTAGCCAAGAAGTCACCCTTTTCAGTCTATTTTCCAAAGGGTAATTTCGATTTATTTTCTTCTTGATTAATTTTCCAAACGGTGCAATCCAGAATTGTTAATCGGCAGATTTGTTAATTGTTTGGAGGGTAATTTTCAATCTATTTTACAAATCGTTAGGAGTGGTAATTTCCAAAAATTAATTTACAAATTGAAATTACCCTTTGATTTCCCCACTGATTCACATGGGCCTAGAATTCTTGAAATTACCTTTTTAAATCAATTAACATATAACATCAGCCCTTTGGAATTCTTAAAATTCTCGAAAAAAAATTAAATAGCAAAACATATTACCTCGTGCGACCGGCTTTCACTCGAGAAGTCGTGTGGTTATTATTGTAGTTGGAACGGATAGCTTGTGCGCACGGAGAATATACGAGGGAAGGGGTATTTTAGTATTTACAATTGCTTTTTACAATTCATTTTTACGAAAAAGAGAAAAGGGGGCAAGTGTGCAATGATTTGCATATTTGAGGGGTGATTGATGCACTTCTTATTCTTTAGGGGTAAATCGTGCACTATCGAAAAAGTTCGGGGGTAATCCATGCACTTTTCTCAATTCTAATAATGAAATAATCTTTCTCACTCTTGGAGGAAGTAGTCCATATTTAAAAATAATACTCCCTCCGTTTCTTAAAACCATTCCTCTTTCATTTTTTTTGTTTTTCTTAAAACACTTCTCTTTTCTATTAAAAAAACCATTTTTACCCCTACTTTTTCATACCCTACCTATCACATCATACTTTTTCACTAACAACTAATTTATCACATCTTACTTTTATCCATCACATCAAGGGCAAAATTGGAAAGTCAACTACAATTTAACACTTCCTTATTTTTCTCCAAAGTCAAAAGAGGAACTGATTTGAGAAAGGGAGGATTAATAATTGAGAATACGTCAAAGGTTTAGCGTAAGAATCAATTTGTTAAATTTTACTCCGTATTTTATTTCATAGCATTCCGTTTTACATATAATTCCTATTATAATTCCTCACTTAGATTCCATGACCAATATTATTACTCCCTATTATAAATGGTCTATACATATAATTCCTAAAGCTTTTCTTCTTCTTCTTCTTCTTCCCATCTCCAATCTCCATTCAGATGATGTCTTGCGGCCTGAACTTAAAGGGCCTCCTCCGCCCCGCCGCCGCCACAAGAAAGCTGTTGAAGCTCTTCTCCACCCCCTTCCGACTCCGCCGCCTCACCCCCAGATCCAAAGTCATCAAGAAGCCGCCCGTCGTCAATAAGAAGAACAAGCCGCGTCCAACGCTGCTGTTCGACGCGGCTGCCCCCAGGAAGACCGGAGCTTCCGGGTGGCGGCCGGGGGCAAGCAGAACCCGCGGGAAGCGCCGCAGGTTCCGGTTCTTGCCGGCAGGCAAGAAAAGGGCGGCGGGGCCCGTTTACGTCGATCAGCTGTTCGTGGCCCCGCCCCCGGAGAATTCCCGCCATCATCATCAGCTTCTGGGAACAGATAAGTTCGCAAAAGCTGATGATGATGATCAGAGTGTTGGTCCTGGTCATGTCTTAATAAGATCATGCGACGAAAACGAAGGGGGTGTTGGGGCGGAGGCGGATGCGATTTGGGAAGCGATGGTAGTATCATCGCCGGAGATGGAGGGAATAGACGAGAGGGCGGAGGCGTTCATATCCAGATTCCGTGCACAAATGAAGCGTCAATAATAGAGAACATTCTATATATTTTCTATTCGGTCCAAACGACTATTATATTGTATGATATTGTATTGTATTGTATTGTACTATGGCAAATTGTGATATACGTACAAGTAGCGAATTCCCATTGTTGTTTAGCTTCGGCAAAATAATGCACAAATGTCATGCACAAACGCAATAAGTACTTCAACTATTGCAGCAACACACAAGAAATTGTACACATTTAGTCATTCAATCATATCAACTAAATTTTATCCTTGCAAACCTCACCAAAAGGGCCTTAATAGGCATTTCAAAGTACGGAGCATTAAATTGGAAGCAGCAATACCAACACCGATGCCAAGCATATGGATAAAATATTTCAAGCAATGGGAAGGGACTCAATTGAGATTCAGTTACTACTAGCATAATTTCTTAGCATCTTAATATATGTTTTAAAGTCACAATTGTTAACATGAAAATATGAAACCAATCAAACAGTATGTTGCTAAAAAAAATATAGCCGAGGGTTTTAAATGTTGAGATCAAAAAACAAACCTTGAGAACAGATCCAATACCGAAGCACAAGAGGCCGCCTTCACAAGGTGAGAATCTGCTGGAGACTGCTTCATACATATAAAAGTAAACCCTGTGGGATTTTAAATGGCATCCGGAATTCACTATTCATATACTCTTCACCAATTGCAACAAAACATGCAGCATACAAGAGAAACAAAATACCATGAGTTTCAGCCCAAATTATCCACCAGCAAGGTGTCTGCAACAGCAACTGGAACCTAGCTCCAAAACCAGCCCCACACTGCCCAAATCACAAACAACAAGCTCCAAACAGCAAGCCCAAACAAGTGACTGCACAAAGAGAACAATAGCACAGTAAAACACAACTTCCAGCCCACAAATGCCACTGTCCAGCAGGAAACCATTGTCCAATTCAACGTAACCTTGCCCACAACACACACTACAGCAAGAAACGTCCATAAGATCACCAAAAATATACCAAGTATGCCTTAGAATCTGCTCCATTAAACAATGGCCACTCCCTCAACCACAAATCAACCCATGTTGGCTCTTCCATAACCATAGGGGGGTAGGGGGCAAGCTGACCATTGTGCATTTGGCAGCTTAGTTCAATGGACATCAACACAAAAAACACGCATACACAACCACCAAAAAACAGTAGGAAGGCCATCCATTCAAAGCAAGAACAACACTTCATTCCACAAGTTAAGTAACTAATACACTTTATTTAAGGCCATCCTTAAATACTATCAGTTTCACAAAAAACTAATACAATTTTTACATAATTTCTTATAAATTTCAACTCATATTCACACAATTTAAACTAAGTTTCACTAAAATGCACTCAATTTCACACAAACAAATTCAATTTCACCAAAAATTAGAATAATAATAAAT